GGGGGGAAGTTGGGGTGATTGAGGGGATTGGGGGTGGTTTTGGAGGTTTATGGGATGGTTTGGAGGTTTTTGGGTTGGTTTAGGGAGCTTTATGAAGTGGTTTGCATGAACTATGGGGAATTTTGGGCTCGGGGGCATGATCTGGGGGGTTTTTGGGGTGCTTTGGGGGTGCTGTGGGGTGATTTTACGGGTTTATGGGGTGGTTTCAGGGGGCTATGGGGCAGATTTGGGCTCTGGGGGGTGGTTTGGGGGGATTCCTTGGGTATCCCTGGCTCACTCTGGGGGTCCCTGGCTCACTCTGGGGTGGTTTGGGGGATTCCTGAGGGGTCCCTGCCTCACCCTGGGGGAAGATTTAATAAAAGGCAAAATAACAAACGGAAAAACTGCAGCCGTGGCTTCTGCTGCAGCATTAGGAACAAAAAGATTTAATAAAAGGCAAAATAACAAACGGAAAAACTGCAGCCAAGTACAGAAATCTGCTCCTGGTAAAAACACCTCACAAAAGCCCTCAGCTCTTTTTTCTCTTTTTCTACCTGATGGTTCAAACGAGACTTTTCAGCTTCCATCCCATTAGCCGCCCTCAAGTTTTTGGCGAAGCCCCTAAGATCTTACAAAGCACCTTTTCCCCTAATGGCTAAGAGAAACTTTGAAGCTTTTTTTCCTTTTTCAGAAGACAAAAGATGCTTTTGCCACCCTCACCGAGGCCTCGCTGGGCGACCACTGGATGTCCTCGACGCTGCCGCCGTGGCCGAGCAGCGGCCGCTGGTCCACGGCCCAGCCGCCCTCGCGCGGCTCCCAGCGATGGATGCGCCCGCGCACGTCCCCGGACAGCAGCCGGCCTGGGGAGGGGGAGCAGGGGGGTCACAAACCCCAAAATCCCAGATTGTCCCCGGATCCGCACCACGGGGCTCCATGATTCCCAGGAGTCCCTCCAGCAGCGCCCACCAGCTGGCCCTGCTCCTCACGTTTTCCATCTTTTTTCCCCTCACGTTTCCTGCCCTTTTCACCTCGAGTGTTCTGCCATTTCCCCTCACGTTTCCTGCCCTTCTCCCCTCACGTTTCCCGCCCTTTTTCCCCTCTATTTTTCTGCCACTTTTCCCCCTTTCTGCCGTATTTTTCCCCCTCACGTTTCCTGCCATTTTCTCCCCTCACGTTTCCCGCCATTTTCACCTCAAGTGTTCTCCCATTTCCCCTCACGTTTCTCACCTTTTCTCCCCTCACATTTCCTGCCATTTTTCCCCTCACGTTTCCCCCATTTTCCCCTCACGTTTCCTGCCTTTTTTCCCCTCAATTTTTCTGCCACTTTTCCCCCTTTCCACCGTATTTTTCCCCCTCACGTTTCCCACCATTTTCACCTCAAGTGTTCTGCCATTTCACCTCACGTTTCCCACCCTTTTCCCCCTCACGTTTCCCGCCATTTTCACCTCAAGTGTTCTCCCATTTCCCCTCACGTTTCCCACCCTTTTCCCCCTCACGTTTTCTGCCAATTTCCCCCCATTTCTGCCACCCTTTTCCCCTCATGTTTCTCACCCTTTTCCCCTAACATTTTCTGCCACTTTTCCCCTTTTCCACCATCTTTTCCCCCGACGTTTCCCACCTTTTCTCCCCTCACATTTCTCCCAATTTCCCCAAATCCTCACCAGGGCTCAGGGGTCTCCAATCCCCCTGTGACCCCCATGACCCCCCAGACCCCAAACCCTCCCAAATTCCCCCAAATCCTCACCTGGGCTCAGGGGTCTCCAATCCCCCTGGGACCCCCATGACCCCAAAACCCCCCCAAAATTCCCCCAAATCCTCTCCAGGGCTCAGGGGGCTCCAATCCCCCTGGGATCCCCATGACCCCAAATCCCCCCAATTTCCCCCAAATCCTCACCTGGGCTCAGGGGGCTCCAGTCCAGCCCGAACCCCTCGTCCATGTGGCCGCTGAAGGTGGCGAGCGCGGGCAGGGCTCCCTGCTGGACGCTCTTGGGCCCCCTCCCCAAATCCCCCTCCCCAAATTCCGTCCCCAGGGCCCCCAGGGCCCCCCTCAAAGCCAGCACCTCCACCTGGCCCCGCTCCGACCACACGGCCGCGACCGGGGACCCCCCGAGGGACGTCACCTGCGGGGGGACACGGCAAAGGGGGGTCAGGGACCCCCAAAAGGGGCTAAGAGGGGGGGAAGGAGGAATTTGGGGAGGTTTGAGGGGGTTTTGGGGGTCCCAGGGGGTATTTTGGGGTCCCAGAGGGTCCTGAGTGGGACTCAGGGGGAGATTTGGGGGTCCCCAGGGGGGTCTGAGAGGGTCCCAAAGGGTTTGGGGGCGTCAAGATGGGGGTCTCGGAGCATCCCAAGGGTTTTTTGGGGGGTCCCAGGGTTTTTTGAGGTTCCCAGATTAATTTTGAGGGTCCCAGAGAAATTTGGGGGGTGGTCCCAAGGTTATATGGAGAATCCCAGAAAGTTTTTGCGCGTCCCGGGGTGGGTTTTTGAAGGTCAGTGGGGTTTTTTGGGGGTCTCAGGGTGGTTTTTTGGGGTTCCCAGGGTGGGTTTTTGTGTTCCAGGTAGGGTTTTTGAATTTTTTTGGGTTCCCAGGTGGGGTTTTGGATTCCCAGGTGGGTTTTTGGTGTTCCTGGGGGGGGGGTTTGGGGGGTCCCAGGGGGTATTTTGGGGTCCCAGAGGGACAAGGGGAGATTTGGGGGTCCCCAGGGGGGTCTGAGGGGGGTCCCAAAGGTTCTGGATGGTCAAAATGGGGGTCTCAGAGGATCCCAAGGGTTTTTTGGGGGGTCCCAAGGGTTATTTGGAGGTTTAAGGGGGGGGTCCCCAGGGTTTTTTGAGGTTCACAGTTTAATTTTGAGGGTCTCAGAGAAATCTGGGGGGTGGTCCCAAGGTTATATGGAGAATCCCAGAAAGTTTTTGGGGGTCCCGAGGCGGGTCAGTGGGGTTTTTTGGGGGTCTCAGGGTGAGTTTTTGGGGTTCCCAGGGTGAGTTTTGGGGGTCTCAGGGTGAGTTTTTGGGTTCCCAGGTAGGGTTTTTGAGTTTTTTTGGGTTCCCAGGTGGGTTTTTGAGTTCCTAGGGTGGGTTTTTTGGGGTTCCCAGGTTGGGTTTTTGGGTTCCCAGGCAGGGTTTTTGTGGGGTTTTTTTGGGGGGCTGTTTGGGGGGGGTCCATACCCGCAGCCTGTTGATGCCCCCGTAGTGGGGGGCCATGATGAGCAGCAGCTGTGGCTCCCTGCCCTCCCCCTCCTGCTCGCTGTCACTGTCACTGTCGCTGTCACTGTCACTGCTGTCCCCGCCCTTCCCCCTCCGCAGCCCGTGCAGGTTTTGCATCTGCAGCAGCAGCACCCTGGAGGGGTTGGGGACACCCCCAATCAGGGCTGGGGACACCCCAAAACCCACCTGAAAAACACCCCAAAATCCGCCCCGAAACCCATCCGAAAAACACCCCAAAATCACCCCAAAAA